CATTTTCCCAGCCCACGATGTGGAGTTATGTCCCTTCCTTTCTCTTCATCTCCTCCTCTCTCCCCTGCACCCCCCCACCCCGTGCTGTGCCAGTTAGGACTTCACTGTTAGAATACCATCACCGATTGGACATGCCAAAAATTAGAATACAGTGTGAAGCTGAAGGGGCCCCATGCTGGCTGTGCGTCCTGAACTGGCGGGGGCTCCGTCAACCCCTGGGAGGCAATGGGGAGTCCACAGCCCTGGCCTTGGGAGCTCACATTCTTCCAGCAGTCAGGAGAAGAAAGTGACAAGCCTTGTGGCTGATTTTTCCTCACTTTGCAAAGTTGGGTCAAGTCCAAAAATGCCATTTTGGGTCTCACTAAGAAAAAGCCCATCAAATTTGACATTTATGGGACCCATGAGACAGAATCAGAGGGGGATGATTTTCATAGGCCTGGGATGATGCCAGGCCTAAACACTGGCAGCTCTCCGGTCGTCTTTATGATATGTCATGGTCCCCCAGCCTCTCGGCGTCAAGGAAGCCCAGGGAGGTAAAGTGACTTGCCCAAGGTCACAAACTTGGTAGGATGCAGGGTTTTTTGTTTTTTTTTTTTGCATCAAGCCCTGTGTCCTTTGCAGATGACTGGCAGCTGCCTCAGGTCTGTATTTCCAGGGCCAAAGAAGCAAGAAGATGGACTTGTTCTTAGGTCTGTGCTTAGAATCAGCTGGAAGTAAGAAAGATACATAAAAGCACACTCAGGGTCCTCTTGCCCTGACCTGGAAATCCTGAAGCTATTGTTCAGAGGTGCACTTGAGTTTTCCTTGCCCAGAGCGTTTTGCAGCCACAGACATCATGGGATGTGAATAGCCCAAAATGGATCTACACACCTGATTCGCTAGACTCTTCCCATGTGGCTGCCTGAGTCCCTAGCCAATCTCCATACAAGTCCAAACACCTCCCAGGACTAGGGCCTGATCAGAAAGCTGAGCATATAGCCATCCCTCTCTTTACAGGTCCATCTCCCTCCCCACAGCTTCCTTTTAAAGAAATACAACCCACTTTGTCCAGCTTGTCAAGCTCCTTGTTTCAGTAGGGCCTCAAAGGCATTGAAATGGGTGGGCTTTGGAGTCCCCCAAGAATTTCCAGTCTCTGCCACACCCCCAAACTCCTGAAGGCCAGCAGCCACTGAGAATAGCTCAGTTGCACATGCTAAGTAGACAGAAAGCAGGCTCAAAGGTGCTGGAGTTATTTCCACAGCATCCCCAGTAGTTTCCAGCCTCTCTGGCCCAAACCTGAGATTGCTGGTCAGTTGAGGGCAGTGAGGTTGTCCTGATGAACTAGGATTTGTGGAAAGAATACCGCCCACTATGCACTCTGCCCCAGGTGCTGTGCTAAGCTAGACATTCTCTACCTCCTCTACGTAGCATGAGTCTCAGAGGTACTTGTCATCCCCACTTTACAGATGAGGACATGGAAGTTTGGAGGTCAGATGCCTATGCTAAGAAGATAATACAGCTGGTGAAAGGCAGGGCCAGCATTCCAACCCAAGACGCCCCCTGCCCCAACCCCACAGTGAAAGAGGCTAAGTATGAGTGAAAACACTACAGTTTGTATTCTAATTCTTTTGGCTTTTTTTTTTTTTTCAGTCATCACAATATATTACAAAATTTCAAACAACAAAGGAGGACATGAAATTGTTATATTTATTGAAAGTGGGTTTGGGTTTTAAAAGTTGTGAAACACTGGTCTATAGTCTTATGGGAATTTATAGATTTTTTTTTTTTCTCCCCACACTCTCTGGATGTTTTCTTCATATGCTTGTCATACCCTGCTTACCTGGACTGCAAAAGTCTAGGAGGGCGGTGATCGACCGTGAGTTTCTCTCTTTTGTGTTTCTCCCCGTTGTCTTTACCCAGTGGACACTCTATAACCAGGTCACCCAATCTATTGTCTAACATGGTTTGTTTTTCATTCCTGAGGGAACTTTTTTGCTGTTCCGTCAAACTTACCCAACCTAAATAAAGGACTGAAGGAAATGGGTTGGTTTTCAAACAAAAATAGGTGACCTGAAGGAGAGAAGATGGATGAAACAGAAAACAGAACAATAAAATGTCACGAAATTGGAGCCTACCATCTCAGGGAGACTGAACCAGAACTTAGCTTTTGAACTCTTCACTGAAAAATTATTTAGCCAGTTAAAAATCACACCAGTGACAAAATGGCTCTGGTGACTGTTTCATTAGGAAATAGTGACTGTTTCTTGGGAAAACAAACCAACGCCAAGCCCCCATATTGCACACACTAGAAAGAAAGGGGTACGGTGTAACAGACTCCTATGTGCTAGCTTCTAGTCGCACCATTTCCCAATTAAATCAATTCAAACCACCAATGAGTTGTTCTTATCTCCAGTTCATGTGTCTGTGTGTGTGTGTGCGTGTGTGTGCGTGTGTGTGTGTGTGTGTGTGTGTGTGTTTGCTGGCTTGGAAGTTTGAGAATGTTTAAGAAAATGTTTTCAGCTGAAACTGGCCATCCCTCCCAAGTGCTGAGGTTTTGCAGAAAGACTGTTCTGTGAAAGAAAGTGTGTTTTCTTCCTTAGACAGATGACAAATTCATGGTGGGGGGGTGCTGGGGCACAGACAACACAGGTTGAAAGGAAAAAATAGATCTTTGGGGAAAGAAAGTAGAGTGATTTAGGCTGTCACAATGAGACCTCCTAACTCCACTCTGTGGAATGCTGGTGAATACTTGAGTCAGCTCCTCCAAAGCCTTCTTCAGCTTTTTCCAGACTCCAATCACATCCACCGCAAAGGAAACCAAGTTTGAGTTTTAAAGCTTAGATTCAGTTCTTCATCCAAGAGAAAATTAACCAGAAGTGTCATTTCAACATCCATCTCCCATCGATATGCTTTAGGAAGAGAAAACATCATGCAGCTTGATTTAGAATCACGGAAAGGTAGGGCTGGAAGAGGAATGCAGCTATGTCACAAAGGCAGAAAGTAAGGAATATGGTGCCACAAAAGTGACTTGTCTGGGGTCAACATATGAGAGCAGACCCCAGCCAGGACTCGGGGCCCCCTACTGCCAGTTCACCTTTCTTAAGTTTTAGGTCTCCACTCTTGCCCACTGAGGCCGATTTAGCGGAAGCAGAAGGTGCGGTATATTCTTGTGACATTTGGGGGGCGTCCGGAGGAATCTAAGGAAGTTTGTTTACACTGAGGGCCTGGAGAGCTTGGAGAGAACGGACGAAACCAGGACAGGCCCAGCAGCGCGCTCGCGGACGCAAACACACGCACACACGCACGTCCACACAATGACACCGACACAGAAGAAGAAGCTGAGTTGGGCAGGGTGGACAGCGGATGAACCCACCTCACAGGGCCGCCCCCGCCAGCGCCAAGTGCAGGACTTGCTCGGCGCCAGCAGAGGGCGCGCCGCCCCCAGGGAGCCGAGCAGCAGCCGCGCGGAACCCGGCAGGCTAGGGGAGCCGCAGGCGAGCCGGACGCGCCCCTGCAGCTCGGCCACTCAGGGTGCAGGACCCGGCCAAGAAGGAGGAGGAGGGTGCGGAGAGGACCCCCCTCGTGGGCCCGAGTAACAGACGTGCAGGAGTGCTTCCTAGGAATTACATCACGCTGCGGAACGCTGCGGCTCTCGGAGTCCTCCTGCTTCAAGTGTGTCTGTGTGTGTCTAGAGTGTGTGTGTTTATTTAGTGTGTGTGTTGGGTGTGTGTGTGTGTGTGTGTGTGTGTGTGTGTCTGTGTCTGTACGCCCTGGGGGGAGGGGACTTAGACCAAGCTTGGGAGAGAGGAAGGCGAGACGCGCCCGGGGAAAAAGGTCCATGCACATGGAGAAATTCCTTGCGCCGGACTGCGCGAAGAAACGAGCCCCCAGCACCTCCCCGCTGCTCCCCTCCCAGTGCAAAGCACCCAGCTAGTGAGAACCCTCACAGCCCCACCTCGAGCACCCCCCAAAACCGGCCCTGCACCCTCCAGCCCGGCTCCAGCGCCGCCGAGAGCTTTCCCCAGGACTGGCCCTGGCGGGGCGCCTAGAGCCCCAGTTGCATTGCTCCAGGAGAAAGGAGGGGGGCGGTGCATTTTGCAGGAGGAGGAGAAGGGGGGTGGGTGGTGGGGGAGAGAGAAAATTGCGCGGAGACCTGCCAAGCGCCACCGCCGCCGCCACCGCCGCTGCCGCCGCCGCCGCCGCCGCCGCCGCCGCCTGTGAGCTCCGGCGGGCAGCCGGACTGTCGGCTTCCCGGGGCATCTGGGTCCGGCGGGGCACAGCCCTGGGCGCTGCCGAAGCCGCCGCCGCGGCGAGTGCAGGCGGCTTCCCCCAGAGCCTGTACCGCTCCAGCTCCTCGGGGGTGGAGAAGTGGGGGGTGGGGTTGTTGTTTGGGGGGAAGAAGGGGGAGGGGGCAACGCCGAGAGAGTCAGTGGTTTCCATGGTGATGGAGCTGAAAGTGCAGGAAATTTAAAGGCTTGGACCCTGCGAGACAGACAAACCGGTGCCAACGTGCGCGGACGCCGCCGCCGCCGCCGCCGCTGGAGTCCGCCGGGCAGAGCCGGCCGCGGAGCCCCGAGCAGGCGGAGGGAAGTGCCCCTAGGACCCGCTGGGCCAGCGGCGCTGCACAGAGCGGCAGGACGACGAGCAGCAAGAGGAGGAGGAGGGGAGAGCGGCTCGTCCACGCGCCCTGCACCGCCGCCGGCCCGGGAAGGCAGCGAGGAGCCGGCGCCCCCCGCGCCCGCCGTCGCCCTGGAGTAATTTCGGATGCCCCGCCGCGGCCGCCTGCCCGAATAGACCCGGGAGAGGAGTTGCGGCCAACTTGTGTGCCTTCTTTCCGCCCCGGTGGGAGCCGGCGCTGCGCGAAGGGCTCTCCCGGCGACTCATGCTGCCGGCCCTGCGCCTGCCCAGCCTCGGGTGAACCGCCTCCGGAGAGACGGGGGAGCGCGGCGGCGCCGCGGGCTCGGCGTGCTCTCCTCCGGGGACGCGGGACGAAGCAGCAGCCCCGGGCGCGCGCCGGAGGCATGGAGCGCTGCCCCAGCCTGGGGGTCACCCTCTACGCCCTGGTGGTGGTCCTGGGGCTGCGGGCGGCACCGGCCGGCGGCCAGCACTATCTCCACATCCGCCCGGCTCCCAGCGACAACCTGCCCCTGGTGGACCTCATCGAACACCCGGACCCTATCTTTGACCCCAAAGAGAAGGATCTGAACGAGACGCTGTTGCGCTCCCTGCTCGGGGGCCACTACGACCCGGGCTTCATGGCCACCTCGCCCCCCGAGGACCGGCCCGGCGGGGGCGGGGGGGCGGCCGCGGGCGCCGAGGACCTGGCCGAGCTGGACCAGCTGCTCCGGCAGCGGCCGTCGGGGGCCATGCCGAGCGAGATCAAAGGGCTGGAGTTCTCCGAGGGCTTGGCCCCGGGCAAGAAGCAGCGCCTGAGCAAGAAGCTGCGGAGGAAGTTACAGATGTGGCTGTGGTCGCAGACCTTCTGCCCGGTGTTGTACGCGTGGAACGACCTGGGCAGCCGCTTTTGGCCGCGCTACGTGAAGGTGGGCAGCTGCTTCAGTAAGCGCTCGTGCTCCGTGCCCGAGGGCATGGTGTGCAAGCCGTCCAAGTCTGTGCACCTCACGGTGCTGCGGTGGCGCTGTCAGCGGCGCGGGGGCCAGCGCTGCGGCTGGATTCCCATCCAGTACCCCATCATTTCCGAGTGCAAGTGCTCATGTTAGAACTCGGGGTTCCCTTCCAGCACCCGGACAATTGATGGAACCCCACTGACGCCCTCCCCCCGCCCCCCGCACCGTCTCCAACCAGTTCCACCACCCTCTAGCGAGGGGATTCAATGAACTTTTTTTTCTTTCTGGCTACAGAGACCTAGCTTTCTGGTTCATGTAATGCACTGTTTAACTGTGTAGGAATGTATATGTGTGTGTATATACGGTCCCAGTTTTAATTTACTTATTAAAAGGTCAGTATTATACGTTAAAAGTTACCGGCTTCTACTGTATTTTTAAAAAAAAATAAGCAAAAGGAAAAAAAAGAACAGAGCAAAGAGAGACTTATTCTGGTTGTCGCTAATAATGTTAACCTGCTATTTATATTCCAGTGCCCTTCGCATGGCGAAGCAGGGGGGAAAAGTTATTTTTTCTTAAAGTACAAAGAGAGGGGAGAACTTTTGTAGAAGGACTTTTAAAAAGCTATTTTCCATTCTTCGGAAAGTGTTTTGGTTTTCCTTGGACCTCGAAGAAGCTATAGAGTTCAATGTTATTTTACAGTTATTGTAAATATAGAGAACAAATGGAATGACTAATCATTGTAAATTAAGAGTATCTGCTATTTATTCTTTATAATATCCCGTGTAGTAAATGAGAAAGAAGTGCAGAGCAGGATTAAAGAAAACCACTAAAATCGACTGCGCTCTACACTGCGATTCTCTGTGTTGGTGATTGATGGGGGGTGTGGGGGCTGGAGGGGGCGGGTAGGGGTGCCGCTGTGCTTACGATGCCTGTTGGGAGAAGGGGCTCATCTCCTCTTCTCGTGTGATGGAGATGACCGCTCAGTTTTTCATGGTGGGGGGGGGCGGTTATTCTCAAACCCCTCACTCGAACATCACGTGGCCTTTGCCCAGTCTCCGGGCTTTTTCTCCCTATGTCACCAAAGCTCCGGCCCGTCCTGACCTCGACACCCGGCCGGCCCCCTGGAGCTGACCCCAGGCTGGGCCAAGGGGCGGTGGGGTGGGGGGGTAGAGGGAGGGTGGGCGGCCGCTTTGTCCTGCCTGACAGGCCCTTCACAATGGGGACACGTGTCTTTCACACCTACCCTGGGGGCGGAGTGCCGCTGAAACTTGACCCCCGAAGAATGGGGGGGGGTGGGAGAGATCAGAGCGCGCCCACCCAGATCCCGCCACCCCTCCCGCCTCGCACCGCCCCCCCCAATCAATAACCAGCCTGTGTTAACCCTTTGCACGCCCGGAAGCTGCAGTGATGCAAGCTAAGGCGATCCGGTCCTTTGGAATCAACACTCAGGCTCCGGGATCCTGCAGGTCTGAGCCCCCCAAACCCTAGGCCCTCAGCTGGAATTGCTGGGGGCAGCTGGGTGACTTGACACTCGCCTCCCCGCCACCACTGCCCGCGTGCCCCAGGACCTAAGGAGGACTCTGAGGGTCAGGATTTCGGAGGGGTCTGAATTTGGGTGAAAAACGCCACCACTGGGATCTGCAGTCGGGAACCGGGTGCGCCCTCCACCCCCACTCCGCTTGGGGGTGGGGAGGGAGGAGAACGCAGAATGGGGATCTTTGAGCTTTTGGGTTAGAGAGGGGCAGAAGACGCGTTACCCCTTAAAGGGACATGCAAAATATCACCCTCACCCCACCCCTTAAAAAGCCAACTTCTTGGGGCTGGCGCTCGACTCGCGTGCGTCCCTCCGCCTCAGTCCGCGGTGGCGCCCATCCGCGCAGCTCCACGTGGGCCGGCTTCCTGACACTGCTCAGCGCTCCCTTTATTTATCTTGGACTCCAAAGTCGCTCTCTTTTGCTCCCTCCCCGCCCCCCTGCCACCTCCCCGCGCCTCCCTCCCGGAATCCCTCCCCCCCCCACCCCACCCCGGGGCCGGAGTCCCAGCGAATCTATGCTAATTATTTCAAACCTGCGCCGGGTCCCCAGCGCAGTCTCAATGCCCCGGGCCCCGCCCGCCCTGTCCCTCCAGCCGGGCGCTTTCTTCCCTCCCGACGCAGCCTCGGTGGCTCCTCATTTCAATAGCCTGGCCCGGGAGCCGGAGCCCCCTCCCCGGCGCTGCCTCCGTCAGCCGTGGGACAGACGTTAGGGTATTCATTAACTGAGAGCCGAGGAATAACGGCATTATTCCCCCCAGAGAGGGCACCCTGCCCCCGCGACTATCTGAGGCTTCATTGTAAAAGGATTAAAAGTTAAAGACCTCCATCTTATGATTCTTTCATTTAATCTTCCTGGCGCCTGGGAGACATGCTCGATGGATGATGGCTTTTAAAATATTCCTAATGTCGGCTACCTTAAGACTCCAAGCCCGGCAAACAAACGTAATTTATTTCCAGAAGAAAGGGGATATTGAGATGTTTAAGTTTATGAACCGCCGTCCCCATGTATATTTGTTAAGTTCTGACAAATACCCAAATAACGTTAAAATCAGCCATTCATCACTTATGAATTTATGCAAAACTTTCTGTGCCCCGGGCCAATATTTTTTTAGACAGAGTTTCACTCGCGAGGGGCGGAGGTGGTGGGGAGGGGGAAGGGGAGGGGGCTTACGGGGCGGTGGGGGGGGGGAGCCGAAAGCAAGAATTTTCATGCCTGGTAAACACGCGAATTATGCGAAGAGAGTTATTCCCAGCTGGGCGGGCAGCCAAAACTTCGGAGAGCGCGCTGAGGCCAGCGCCCCCACCCCCACGTTGGCAATGTCATTGGATTACAATGCGAGGTCTTCCCCTCCGCGACGCCCCCTCCTCCCTCCACCCGCCCGCCCGCCAGTGCCCCTCCTCCCCACCCCTGCCCACTTGGAAAACCCGCTCGCAGCCGGCGAGCTTCTCGGCTTTCAGAGCCAGAGCCGGTGTGAGCTAGGAGGACCCGGGCTACTGCAGACGTGACGGGCAAGAGACAGACCACCGCAAAGACAGACCAAAGGGTAGGGCCCCAAGCCGCTCCGGACGCGGAGAAGAGGACCCAGCAGGATTCAGGCAGACCCAGAAGAGAAGGAAGGAGGTGCTGGCTCTCCTGGAACATTGTGACTAATGCACAGCCGGTTACGTTTCCATTATTATTAATGTTGATAATACTAATAATAGCATCGACTCGGAAAGGAGTAGAGAGCTCTGGGCAGAGACGCAAGAAAACTGTCCTCTGCGGTCACCTAGTCTATCTCCTGTAAGGAGGAAAATTGATCTTGGTGTCTTCTGCGGTTTTGACAGCCTGTGCTTATGAATCTGCAGCCGCTGGGGCACCGTGCCTCCCCAGGATGGAGATTAGAACCACTACAGAAACAGACTCATCCACTTTTTCAAAATCCTGGAAGAGAATGGCAAGGTGTCCGGCAGTCCAGCCCTCCTGCCATGATTGCAGGAAATCAATCATCAACCCTCTATTTTCAGCTCTTCCCTTTATTCCTTCCTTCCGCTCTTCCAACACTCCCCACCCTTCATGCACAAGTATACCAAAGCCAAATGTCCACGGAAAGCCAGCACCCTCAGGGGAGGGCCCTCTGGCCCCCAGAATCTGGGAACCGGATCCGGTTCCCTGTTGAGATGGAGAAGGCCAGGGGTCCATTATCAGTCTTGCTTCTGAGACCCCTGGGAAAGGGGGTTGAAGTTTGGCGGCAGCTGCAGGGGGAGCCGGCTGTGTATTAAGAGCTCTTAGCTGTGCTGGATGGGGACAGCAGGGGGAGGGCCCAGCCCATATTGGTATTTTGAAGGGGTGATTCATCCTTTTTCTTTAATGCTCTTGGAATGTCAGCACTGGAGGGGAGCTTAGATTCCAGTGCCCACCGCTCAATTTACAGATGAGAAGACTGAGACCCTATCGGGGCAGACCGATCACATGGATTAATATAGTTGGGCTTGGCCAGCTAGCCTCCGTTGTGCCTTTTCACTCTTCTCTTGTTCTTTGCTCTTTGTGCCTTCTCAATTTTTTTTTTAATAAAAATTATTTATTTTTAATGGGGGGAGACTTCACTCCACAATTGATGTAATAGCAGTTGAGCATCAGGAAGTTCCAATCTGCTGTGTCTGTTTAGCAAGCAGTCATCATCACAGGCCTGTCATGAGTCAAGCACGGGGCTGGACCTTTACACACCTTCAGATCAGGTCTCTAGTATCCAAATAAGGAAACTGAGCTCAGAGAGTTTATGCATCTTGCTGAAAGCCACACAGCAAGTGACACAATTATGATCTAAAATCTGAGCTGACAGCAAAGCCTATGCTTCTTCTAAATACCCTTCTTCCTTTCAAGCACTTGAACACCTGGCTTGGGGGACACGATGTGCCAGTTGATGTGTTGGCAAGTCCCAACTCAAGCTCTAGGGGATTCATGCCTGGTAGGCCACATACAACATGTTTGTATGCCTCCTTATGTGCCTGGGCCCCACTTCCTAACCTCCCCCCCCCCACACACACACATATGCAGGAGGAAGAGGTAAGAAATGAAGAACAGGATAAATGAAGGAAGAAGAGTTAGAAAAACATCAAACAAAGTAGGGACAGAAAGGCAAGGGCTCACTGCTGGACTGAGCAGCCAGAGAAGGCATCTGACAAAGGTCTCAAAGGACAAGTTAGATGTTGACGTCCTGAGGTGGGACTGTGGGTGGAAAGGACATTTGAATGGAGAAAGCTGTACAGATAAGTTAAAAGACATGATGTTGGAAAAGTATCTGGGAAGGTCTGAAAAGCAGGCTGATGCCAAATTATGGAGGACCCTGAATACCAACTAAAGGCACTGAACATTGTTTTTCCAGTATTAGGGAGCCGTTGAGAGTTCTTGAATAAGGCAGTGACATCATCAGCACACTGAATACTTTATTCATTCAATGAACAGTTTTGATCAGGTTTTGGTTATCTATTGGTGCATAACAAGCTACACCAAAACTAACAATCTTAGAACAATCATTTTATTTTGCTCATGATTCTGTGTGTCAGGAAGTGGGAAAGGGCTCAGCTGGGCAGTTCATCTCTGAGACTCATGGGATCAGCTGAGCCCTGGAAATCCACTTCCCAAATGGCTTCTAGACATCTGGGGAGCTCAGCTGACCTGTTAGCTAGAGCCCCTGCAAGTGGCTCCTCCATGAAGCTTGGGTTTTCCCACAGCCTGGTGGCTTCAGAATAGTCAGACTTCCTACATGGTGGCTCCTGGCTCTGACAGAAAATACCCCAAGAGACCTGGATGGAAGCTGCAAGGCTCCTTATGACATGGTCTCAAAAGCCCTGCAACCTTGTTTCCACATGGTCTGTTGGTTACCAAGTCCTTAAAACCAGCTCAGATGGAAGAGAAAGGGAATTAGACCTCACCTCTCCATGGGAGCATAAGCAAAGACACGGGGGACATCTTTAACCTACCACAAGCACTTTCTATAGCCTGGCTCTGTATCGTATGCTCAGGACACAAAAATGGAAAGGTATAGTCATTTTCCATTTAGGCTTGGTGCCGGTGTCTAGGACAGATTAGAAATGGGATAGCGGCCCCTGGGAGGCAGGTTAATAAGGACCTAGCTAGGAACCAGGAAGAATCAATAAGGGTCGATATTCGAGGAGTGTCCAGGCCAATGAACACAAAAATCACTTGCCAAAAGACCAGAGAGGACTTGGGGACTGACTGGATGTGGGGGCTGATTGGAGGAGTCGGAAAGTCACCTGATGTTTCAGGCCTGCAAGGGTCCGTCCACAGAAGAG